GATGGTGAGTGGAACATTATGTTCCTTTCATATTAACTACCATCTCACAACTATGACTTCATCTGTTCCTGAAGAACAAGATGATGACGTCTAAAGTTGGCGAATCTCAATGAATGGGAAATTATCCACCAAAACTGTGTGAAATTACATTTGCAAAGCACAACGTACTTCCATTGAACCCAATATGGCCCTCGATATGGAGAGTGAAGGCCATGCAACGAGTGAGGTCGTTTATGTAGCTGGCGACCCATGAACATCTCCTTACGAATGTTGGGAGAGGAAGTCATCATCTGACTCACGACCTGAACTATAAGATCTGTGTTAGCAGGCCATAATCAGCTCTCCACATTCTGCGATATTTTCCCTTTCCCCCGGCTACTTGTATTCGGATCCTTGGCAATGATCTAAATGATCCCTTTTCGGCCAGCCTTTGCAGGTATGGTTACATTACTATATTTTTGGCACTCTGTTTGCTGGAATGTATTGGCTGTTGTTGAAGAATCGGAATAGTTATTTGTTCAGAGCAAGGTTGCACACCTTTTCTTAGCTTCAGCTTCATACTACGCAGCTCTAGTAGCAGATTAATGCGTCTTTTGATAAGGAACAAAGTTTTTTGGAGGAGCGGGGTCGCATGAGCTTCGTTAGATCAATTGACAGCCACCTTAGCATAGTTGAGTTTGTGTGAATGCTGATGGACCTGTTACCCGTTATTCCTCGACCACGTCAGCAAGAGGCATCGTGTGGGGTGACAATGATAGGTTTGTCATAGTTTTTGTTACGAAAATGGAAGGAGGATCTATTACGCGAGCTGAACTTGTTGGGATTGAGAAAGGATTGAGACTTTCCTGGGAGCTGGGAGCTAGGAAGATCCTCCTACAATTAGAATCCACTACTGTGTTATCTCGCATTGAGTCACCTCTATCCTCACTACTGTCACATAGACAAGATAGACTTTGGGTAAGCTGAGCATGACATGTCAAGTTGAAGCATATCGATTGCGAGGCTAACCATGTTGCAGCTATCTTGCTTCCTTGGGGCACTCGTTGCCCATTGGTTTTCATGTGTATGATGTGCCTCCAACCACGTTGGCCTATTGGTTTTATTTTGATGGGCAAATACCACTATAACACCCAAACTATTAACAAATTGTCACTTGTGTCCTATTTTATGCAATATTCCATTTATGTCTTGAACTATTTTTTTGTAAGTTTTGACCGGTGTTGACCGTTAATTTTTAACAGAAAATCCAGTCAGCATTGACGTGGCATATAACATGGAGTTTTTAATCTCATTTTTATTTATTTTCCAACTAATTTGAAAAAATTTAATAAAATACTCAAAATAAAAATAAAACTCACCCGACCTTGCTCTGCTTTGCCGGACATAGATGGCTTCTCCCCGACCTTTTCGTCTGCCGCCCTTAACTACACCCATTTCTTCCTTATAGCAAAATCAAGGACGGCGCAATCATTGCCGGAAACCACTTACACTGCCTCTACTTCTAGCAGAATTTCTTCCTCCTTCGCCATACTTACCAGTCTTCTATGTCGCTAAAAGGAAAGATATAGAGCGATAGAAAGGGGCACGAGATGCGTTAGGCAGTGGGCCTCGACACGAGCCAGTAAATCCAGAACAATAATGGCAACAATGGGCATCGACGCGACCGATGGTAAATCTAGATCGCAACCTCGGGTCGGGCCTCCTCTACATTGCCTCTACACTTCTCTTTTCCCGCCCCCAACCTCTTCCGCTTCAATCCCTGCTCCGAATGTCGGGCGAAGAAATCGACGATTGGTCGTGCATCTTGAGGATTTTTTTTCGGTAACGACAGGGGAAGATGAGATTGAAAATTAGGGTTTGCTTCAAAGGCCAGACCCCGCCGCTTAATCTTTAGTCAGGTGAATTTTGGATCAACAGTGAGGAGGAATCGAGGTCCCAATTCAATTCAAAGCCCAAAACTCGCCCATCTATAATCCTCATTCTCAGGGGGTGGTGCTTTTTTGGTTGTTTTAAGGTTCGCTACTCACGGCGGGGAGTGAGGGTTCTGTGAAGAGAATAAATCCTCTAGGATAGTAGTGGAGGAAGACAACAGAAGGAAGAGAGAAACTGAGATGTTTTGTTTTAATTATTGTTTTGATTCTTCGAATTATTTTTACAATATTGTTGAATTTCAAAATCTAACTTTTTCAAAATTTTATCTTATTGTAATATAATATTTAATTTTGATTTGATTCTTTGAATGACGTGACGTCTAAGTGGCTGCCACTTGTTTGCCATGTCAATAAAAGTCAATATTATTTTGATCACTGTTAGGTCAACCATGATCTCTAACGGTCAGCAAAAGCGTCAAGATACAATTGTCACAAAGTATAATACGATGAGATATGATTGATATACAAATGACATTAGTGTTGTAGTGGGTATTAGTCATATTTTGATAGTATTGGGGTTCAACACCCCCCTCCCCCCCCCCCCCCCCCCCCCAATTAAGAGTCCTTTAAACGCTCTGTTTTCCAAAAAAAAAAAATCTAATGAACCAAGCTTCTCACAAATGGTTCAGTTTTAGCGGGAGAAAAACTTAGTCGAGCTTGGCTATGTGTTGGATTGCTTATGAAATTCAGGCTCGGCCCAGGCCCTGTGCTGGTCAGACCCACAGCACAGGGCCTCAATTCTATTGGGGCCTCATAATCAATTTAAGTCTGGAGGCCCACAGAATTCATAGAGTATGGATGCTACCTTGGGCTCGCCACACAAACAGTTAGTCCGGAGGCCCCGTTGGGATGGCGAGGCCCATACTCGAACCCCTTGGGCTGGCGAGGCCCACACACACAAAAACCCAAAGTAAATAGGCGCAGGAGGAGAATCGAATCATGGACCTATCCTTTTCATCAAAATAAGACACAACCACTGAGCTGTGGCTTGTTTGTTGAATCAAAACTAACAATTAGATATTTAATCTTCTTTTCTTTTCCCAAAATTCTCAACTTCCCAAAAATATCCAACGCCTAAATATGAATTGTACACACCCAAATCTAATTATGTCAACCCGAAAATTTGAAAAAATTAATTTATAAGCGTAGATAATATTATTATTTTCCAATCATTTTCTGAAGTTGTCGTTTTTATTATTATTAATAATTTTACCTTTAAAAAATTTGTGAAAAAATGTTTTGGGGCCACATTTTAAATTGTCGAACAGGGCCTCCAATTATCATGGGACGGCCCTGATGAAATTTAAGTTTATTAGATTGTATAGCTTACATATAATATGATTTCAGATTTAAAAATGTGTTTGGGTATGTATCTCATCTACAATTTATAAGAGAAAGATATGAGAAGGTAAATTTATATTTAAGTTTAATTAGGATTTAGGTTAGGGTTGAGAAGAATGTGTATTAAAGGTTTGATGTCAGCTCAATGTTTGTAAGATCAGTTTTAACCTTGTGATTGTATCTCTGTTTGAAATCCTAGAACTTGATCTCCGGAACATTTAAATGTTCAATTATACTTGTAACAATGTGTTAAACCAAGAAGCATCTTTCGTCCAATGCTATGTCTAAGTGCTCTATAAATATGTAAATTGGGGTTAGCATTGTGTTTACCTTGACAATATAGAGACTTCACCACAAGTTAGAATTCGAATTGAAGATGAGTTTGAGGTCAAACTCAAGCTACAACGATCTAGCTAAACTTTAGTTTGGCTAGTTAAGCTCATTTACCAAGCTGAGCTTCAGTCAAAGATTTGATTTTCATAAAATGAGTTGAGGATGATTCCGCCTATCGATCTCGTGTAGCTTGATGAGGTAATTTTTATCAAGTTGAGTCTGAATCAAGGATAAGTTTAACTGGACTCGGTTCATTAGCAGCCTTACTAATTATTATTTGTCAATATAAACTCCACGTTTGTTATAGATGATTAATTACTGGTCCTAAAGTTTGAACCTCGTATTGAACTAGATCCAATTCTAAGTTAAGTCATATGATAATTCTTTTGGCAAGTACGAGGATTTTCCCCCAAAAATACTAGACTTCCTATAAAAAATTTCACAATACTACACACTAAAAATTCTCAAAATACACAAATTTGGCACGATTAGCTGGAGTGACCAACAACCTAGGTACTGGTTTATTGGAGACCAGAGCGAACGAACCTAGATCGTGACCAACCGGAGGGAACTGGCTCAAAGCAACATGAATTGCGGGTGACAGGAGCGATCCACCCGGATCGCTGATGACATCGGAGATCGTGCACCAAAAATCTTTGGAGTGTCAACGATCTACACCTAACACACTTGGAATCTTCAAACGGTCGTAACTTTGAGCTCGGTTATCCGATCATAGCGATTTTTTTTTTTAATTTAACATAACTTTTGGAGACGTATGTTAGGTATAGGTCACTAGACACTCCATAAAATTTGGGGGCTAGATCGCAGGCCTTGACAACGATTCGGGTGGATCGGTTTGGTTACCACAATCCATGTTGGTTCGAGGTTGGATCGCTTTAGTCAGCCGCGATCCTTGCTGGTTCGCTCCATACTCCACTGAATTAGTATCTAGATCGCTGGATACTCCAGCGAACCACGCCGAACTCGTGTATTTAGGAAATTTTTAATAGAAGTGGTGTGCATTGGGAATTTTTATAAGAAGGCTTGTATTTTGGGGGAAACTCCGTAGGACCTCTAAATTTGCTTGCCAATCCGTTCGGTTTGGTGGGAACTAACCCCACTCTTCTTGCTGTTCTTGTTGGACTGTTTCTTTCAGTGGTGGGGTGTGACCAAATCTGCAACTGTCTCATCAATATCCTCATGTGTTCGATATGGAGAAAACCTTGATTTCAGGAAACCCATTCTTTCCCTTTCCTCTGCTTCCCATCTCCATTGGACAGTCGTACCATGAAACAAGGGGCGCCTCCGTGAATAATTCACTAATTGCTCTACAAATACAATACACCCCAAATTCTACTAATATATACCGGCTCATTTTGGAACCACTGATGTCGAAGCAGCAATATGAAGAAGAAAAAAAAGTCTGGACTCTGGAGTGGAAGCTCTTCCTTTTTCCTACTATCATCTATAGGGTCTATCATGTGAAGTTGAGAGCAGAGTTTGGGTTTTGACCAAATGTGGTGTGTAGCCAAGGATGACTTGCCGACTGCTTCTCTTCTTTTTTCCCCTTATTCTTCTTGTACGTTTCTGTTATCTCAAACCAATTCATACATGCTTTTGCTGGTGGCGGTGGGCAAGTTGTCTATGGCTACATTTCTGTCTCATCTTCACAAGTTATATCCTGTGATGAACATCAGCACTGTGATTCCAAGATTTTCTTTGTGTGATCTGTCACTTGATTGATGCAGTAAGTTCAAACTTTCATTTCTCTTGAATGGCCAACCGGCAATCTGATACCTTGTTTTGGTTTCCAATGATTTTTTCTTCCAGTGGAGTTAAGAGATCAATTAGGGAATTTCCTGGAACTTAGTACAATGGTCACATAGGAACAGGCGAACAGCTTACGTTTTCAAGGTAAACTTGAAACAATACCCTTTTGCTGATTGAGACTTTTTGGAATTGGGTAGTTCTCTGAAAGAATCATCCAAGTCAAGAATGTTTGATCAAGCAACTCACATCATCAATTGGCGAATCAGCGATTGCCAAATCGGAAATTGCTTAATTGTTTACTCCTGCGAAACCCAACACATTTCTGCTTCTCTCCATTGTACCTAATCCACTTCCGTTTATCTTTTTCCACTATTCCATCCAGTTAGAAAGGTCCATTTTTGCTCAGGTGTTTGATGAAGTACATTGCTATTTCCCATTTGCTTTTTCCTATTTAACTCTCTCCTTTTTCCTCACCGATTTCCAAGCTGTTGTAGCACTGAAAGCAGGCATTTTCATAAGCCAGGAAAAGGGGCAGATGAAGCAGCCAGAGTCACCAGCTGCTGCTGAATTGGCACCAGGAGATGGACCTTCTCCTCCAAGGGAAGCGTCCCGAGCCCGGGAAGTGAAGAGAGGCATTGCAATTCTGGACCTCTTTTCCAGGTTCCTTGCTGCTGCTGGGACATTAGGGAGTGCCATAGCCATGGGGACTACCAATGAAACAGTAACAGTAGCAGCTTTCTCTCAGGTTTTCCAGTTCAACACCAACTATAAGGATCTCCCTGTGTTCACGTAAATCCCCTCTCCTTAACTTCAATTCAAACTATTTAGGGGGTTCATGAACAATTTTCTCCTTAATTTGCTATAAGACAGGTTCTTTGTGATAGCCAACTCTGTTGTGGGTGGCTACCTTGTCCTTTCATTCGCCATATCAGTCTATCACATCATCAGAAGCTCAGCTAAAACCAGCAGGATCATCTTGGTTAGCTTAGACACGGTATGATCTTAAACCCAGAAGTTAGTTTTCTCGCAACTTGATTCCTAAAGTGTACGTGTAACTTTTCATCAGAAGCACTTGTGATTGTGAACTCTAATAGAAACTTTGTTCACATGAACCGTGTTTTTGAAGGTTATGCTGTCGATTCTCACAGCGGGGGCTTCATCAGCAGCAGCAATGGTTTACTTGGCACACAAGGGGAATTCCAATGCTAATTGGTCTGCAATTTGCCAGCAGTTCACTAACTTCTGCCACCGCATTTCTGGATCCCTCATAGGCTCTTTCGTCGCCATAATCTTGTTCATCGTCATCATAATTGCCTCTTCTGTGGCTCTCTCTCGACGTTAACAAGTACTTTAGCCTGATCAAATCATGTTGTCTTGCTGATTTCGGAACCAGAGAGAGAGAGAGAGAGAGAGAGAGAGCTCATATAATATAGATGAAGCATAGTTCATAGCAGGCCTTGTTTTTACATATATGAAGTTATGAACATGAGTTTCATCAAACACTTGAGCAAAATTCCACAGTTGCAACTTATCTCATGCTTTATCTCTTCCCACCCTTCACGCCAACATCTCCACAAGTTCATCTATTGATTGTAGGGTCTTCTCATAGTACAAGTACGATTCATACACCTTTGGTGTCCTTATATAGTAATCCAACTGTCCAAAATCAAGCCGGAAAACCAAGCAACAGTTGTGAGCAAGCAACATGTAAGAAAAGAATGAAAAACTTCAAATCCTCTGAGACATGTTTATATCAATACCTGAGACATGTTGTCCACAAGCTCATTCGCCTTGTTTACATACTCTTTCCTCTTGCCTTGAGGTACAGTGGTCATGGCGATCTTCAAATCCTTGTCAAGGTAGTTCTGCTTAAGCCTGATGTAGAACAAGATAAACCTCCAAGCCATGGCATCCAACATGTCCCTGATGCTATGGAGCCCCTCAGCCGTTTGTTTAATCCTCTCCACTGATTCCTCGGGGGAGAGGTCCGGCTGGAAGAAGCGTTCGAGGAGCTGGGACCGTGTGCCCCAGCTCTGAGCCAGTGCGGGCGCAAGTGCTGGTCCATGGAACTGTGCCAGCGTTGCTAGTGACGTTGTGGCCAGGAAAGTTGTCACGAGCTTTCTTCTGTCTGTTGGAATGGCAGGATTGTTGTGAATAGTAGCTGGTGAGGTGGTGGATGGTTTGATTGAGGAGTTATGGGAAGGTTTGGAGTGCAGGAGAGTGGGAGTGTTGGTGAAGGAACTGCTGCAGCTCATGGTTCTCTTTTCGTTTATGGATAATACTGGGTGATGGGAAACGGAAAGGAGAAGGAAATATTTGCGGATGAAATGGTTTGGGGGATTGGAGGGGGAAAATGGGAGGGATTGTTTGGAACTTGGAAGGGTTCTCTGTCAATTGAGTTTGAGTTGAGACCTTAGAATTGTGCCACGTGGCTTGCATTGATGTTATTTTATCTTCAAAAGTTCTGGACATCTTTTTCGCCTGTTCTTTCCTCTTGAGGTGGGAATAAATTGTAACATGCTAGCCAAATCTCATATTAGTGAGATCTATGATTAAAAGATAAGAAACTAACCTTAAATTGTTTGGGTAAAATGGAAGAGTTCTTTTATGAACTTCGAATTTAGAAGTATTCGATGTGAAAAAATGTAAAGATGGGTAACCTCTCGAGAACAATGTACATCAAAACAAAAATTATGAGAGTCTAAATTTAAAACAGACAATATCTTAATTAGACAAGTGTTCAATAATTTATAGAAACAAAAATATTAATTGGGGTACAAGGAGGAGAGCGGATCACTTCAATCATTTATATATGCATAACCATAAGTAACCCTCCCCTTACCATTTATGAAAGTCAACTAACTTTTTTTATTTAACTTTAATGCATTATATCTCTTTCGTTTTAAGTCGTAGTTTATTTATAATTTTGCATAGAAAAATCCAATTAATTGTGCTCTTGAAAATGATATCAACTTTAATATATTTTAGAACAAAAACAATGAGGGTGGATGTATTATTTCTTATTTTAGATAGGTGTATTTCAAATGTAGGGGTCGTTTGGATGCATTATTTCTATGAGAAATCTGTACCCAAATAACTCAAAATGAGTTATTTGGGCTGAAATAATGTGTTTGGGTCCATAATGTGAGGATGGGTTTTTTTTTATTGAGGGGGAGGCATTAAGCCAAAAGAAACATACAACGTCTCTAGTAACAGGTTGTAGGGCGGAACCGACTCAGCCTCCTACAACCAGACCATCATCAATACTCAAAACAAGGACTACAACAGTCAAAAGCAAACAGAGGAAACAAACGACTAATGAATAACCAGCCTTGGGAAGCTTATCCCTATTGATGTCTTCCCTAATGATCCTTTGAAGTTCTGTGGGTGGGTCAATTAACTCATACATACCGAAGGGATAGACGAGAATGTGCTTCGAGAGCCAATCCGCGACTCTATTCCCCTCTCTCTGTGTATGAATTAATCTGACCATCCAATCTTAAGCCATTAGTCTGTGAATTGCCTCCAAAAGGGCAGAATGGGGATGAACATGATCCTCTCTCTTATTGATCAGCTCTACTGCTAGTTTAGAGTATGTCTCCACAATGAGGAACTGGGTTCCTTGCTCTCACGCATACTTCAGTCCATGATAAATTCCCCACAGTACAACAAGAATCGTTGTTCCTGATCCTATCTTGCAGCAGAACCCCCCTCTCCAATCACTATCACTATCCCTAAGAGCACCACTCGCAGTTTCTAGTCATGTACTTCCCTGAGCCGCACCATCTGTATTCATCTTCAGCCAACCTGAGGGTTGAGGCGACCAACCTATCAGCTGCTCTGTTCTCTAAGGTGCCATCGTCATGTCCAAGGTCAAAGTTGATGCTTCCCATGTCTTTCTCCACTCCCTTGCTTTGGAGAGCACCTAATTAACTCTGGTGGGATTAGTGAGGACTTTACCTTGGAACGAATGCTCATTTCTTGTCATTCATAGGTACCACGCAACAAAGGCAAAGAAACTTGCCCATTCTTCTATCCAAGCTCCGGTTAACGTGTCCTCCAGGTTGTTTCGTATCCACTCCTCATGAGCAGCAAAAAAGAAATGCTGGTGAAGCTGCGTTGGCAGGACTTTCTCCCAAGTCATCTTGGTTGTCGGGCAATCCTGAAGACAGTGGATGTTTGTTTTTATCTCGCGTTGGCACATTGGGCTCTTGTCATTCAGAGTTAAGTGTCTGAACTTCCTAACGTTGTTCGTCGAGAGTCTTTCCTTTAAAGTCAACCATACGAACCATCGAACACACTCCGAGCATTGAAGCTTCCAAATCCTATGCCAAAAGGAGGGAGTGAGGGTACTTGTGTTGAATCTTCCATTAGTAGAGGGAGTCCAGAAAATTTGATCCTCCTTTCTAGAAATTGGGTCAATCAGAACAACTCTGATTTTGTTATTGATCTCTGGCAGCATCAGCTCTTCGAACTCCTCCATCTTGAACCCTACGCTAGGATCCCAGAAGTTAGTCAACCTCTTGTTCTGAAGGTTGATAAGTATCTCGCCCATACTCTGATTGCAAAGCAGTTCCAGCAAAATCCATGAGTCATACCAGAACTTAGTCTTCCTACCATTTTTAATATTATGGCCTGCACATTTGCGTAGTAAAGGAGCCGTTTGGGCAAAACTACGCCAGGCTGTAGAACATCCCTGTTTCTTGGAGAGGACGTTAAGGTCATCCTTATTATCTCCATATTTGCTACACAATATCGTGGCCCAAAGAGCTTGTCATTCGTCACCAGCTTCCACGCTCACTTAGCCAACATAGCTTGATTGGCTAATCTTATTGGTCGGATTCTCATTCCTCTAAGCTTGTGAGGAAGGGTTAATTGATCCAAAGCCACCGAATGGATCCTCGATTTTCCTTCTTCCTCGCCCCACACGAACTGGCTACTACACCAGTCAAGTAAATTGAACATGCTAGCAGATTTACCAGGCAGCTAGATTATGTTGAACCCTGAGGAGGAGCTCTTTCTATCTACTTTTAGTAATTCTTACATTGATAGCATGTAGGCCCAGGTATTTCACCAAGTCTGCAGTCAGGCTAATTTTGGATCTTTCACTGAGCCGTTGGGCCTAGTCTCGGGATATATTTGTGGAGACAAACATCGCTGATTTATTGAAATTAACCTTTTGTCCAGAGCTGATGCAGAATTCATCCAGACAAGTCTTGAGGATCTCTATCTGTCTACTCTCCGAATCTGGAAAAAAAAATCAAGTCGTCAGCGAAAAAAGGTGTGAGATCTTTGGTCCATCTCGCGAAAGGGAGATTGGTTTCCAAAGGTTCTCGCTCACAGCCTGTTGATTCTATGAGAGAGTCTTTCTATACATAAGACAAAAAGAAAGGGGGAAAGAGGGTCTCCCTGACGAACTCCTCTAGTTGAAGTGATGGCAGCTGTAAGTCCTCCTTTCCAGTTGATCTTCATTCTGATTCTTTCCACGCAGTACATAATCTTACTTATCCACGTGTCGGGAAGCTCAATTTCCCCAAGCGTGTCCTGAATGAACTCCCAACTCAGCCTGTCGTAAGCCTTCTCTAAATCGATCTTGATTATAATCCCCCGTTTTTAGAGGACCAGGATGTTATCATTAGTTTTTCTTCCCTGAATGAACCACTCTGAGTTGGAACTACCAGCTTCGGCATAACCTCCTTCAACCTGTTGGCAGCAGCTTTGGTAATTGTCTTGAGGGCCACATTATTTAGGTAGATGAGGCGAAACTGAGCCGACGTCTCAGGATATTCAGTTTTGGGGATCATGATGATTGTGGACTCCATCATCTCATTCGGAATGGCACCATTCTCAAAGAAGCTAGTAGCCATGGCCGTCAGATTCTTCCCTACTATGTGCCAGAACTTGGGTTATTTGGGGACGAGTTATTTACAAAAATGCATAAAAGCGTTATTATCAATAACCGGGGGTGGGGGTTGGAATTATTTTGAAATAACGCGTTCACTCACTTTATCACCCCTTGCTTCCCTTTCATCTCTCCTCTCTCATTCCTTCTTCTTTTTGTCTTCGAATTCAATCCATGGCAACATAGCAAAATCGATGCCACCAAAATGAATTATTCTGCTACCTAAGAGCTCCTTTCTTTATGAAGATCAAATTGAGTAGGATCAAGCCTAGGTTGCGGAGGCGAGTCTAGCGGCGACGATTCCTTCTCTGGCGATGGCGACGATAGGGAGAACCGTTGATCTATTCCTATCCCTCTTCTCGTTCCTCCTCCTACAGTCTGCCTCTTGAAATTTGCAATTCGAAAGAATTCGGCCTGTGGACGGGTGCTACTAGTGACGATTGACGAGAAGAAAACCCTAGGATTGCAATCAGGTCCCGTCTCTTACTCTCTTGAATTCGACCTGCTTCCAACCTCTTGTGCTCTCCGCCTTGACTCAATTAGAAAGCATTTGTTGTAATGGTGGTGTATTATTTCTTGCATGTTGGCCAAATGTTGTCGAAGGTGAAGATTTGTTCCCATGGTTGGAATCAGATTGATTATTGGGGGGAGCTTATTTGGCCGGCGATGGAAATTTTACGGGGAGAGAGATGCAAAGGAGAGAGGAGGGGAAGAGGATTAGCTCGATCAGTTTATTTTGCAGAAGAAGAAGTGTACGATGGAGAGTGGTGCTATTACTTGTGAAATTTGATAAGGATTGGTCGTTTCAAGTTAGAGCAAGTGATATGTCCTATTTAGCCTCTTGTTCAAGCTCGAATTGATTGCCAAATGACCCATCAATATTGGAAGGAAGAAAGGACGAATTTGGCTAAGTGTTCGCACTATATCATGGTGCTTACTTTACAGGCACCTATTTTACGTTTTGGTTGATGGAAATGCAAGAGGAAGGTTGGAGATTGAAGAACAAGTGTTTGTTTACAAGTCTGGGTGGATATTTGCGCAAGTTCAACTCTCTAAGTCCATGAACAAAGAGCATCAAGAAGATATGGTGAAACTGGAAAATTGTCTGTTTTTTGCTAAGTCTGGAACCAGTTCGAGATACCAAATGTGGGGGCTTATTCAATGCAGATGGAGCATCATGGAGGGAAGAGGAGAGCTGGAACTTGAACCACGAAGTCAGGGAAATAAACGACTGAAGCTAGTTTGGGTCTTTGATCCTTGGAAGGCCATGAACGAGGCTACAAAGTAGCTATGGAGCTTGATATCATAGCTTGCGCAGGAAGGAACAGCTTGGGAGAGAAGTAATTGAAGTTTGTTTCTTTTTGAGTTGGGATTCTATTTCCTTGTTGAGATAGAGTTAGAAATCGATTTCCTTGTTTGTCTAGAGTTAGAATTAGGGTGTTAATTGTCTATTTAAAGGCTTGGAAGCCTCGTGTAAAAGGTAGAGAAGATTGAATGAGAAAT